CAGGCCATGGTCTTCACAATTACTTGCTATGCATCAGAGAGCTAGACAATGACTAAGGATGACAGAAGAATTGATGCCTTTGACTTGTGGTGCTGGAGTATTGAGCATAGCGTTGACCACCAGGTGAACAAATAGATCTCTCCTGAAGAGGGTGAAACCAAGTTTTTCTTTGGAGGCAAGGATTTTAAAGCTCTGTCTCACATTTTATTGGGCACGTGGCCAGGAGCGACCAGTCCTTGGAGAAGGACATAATGTTCAGAAGGGTGGAAAGACAGTGCAGGAGAGGAAGACACCCCAGATCAGATGGATTGACATGGTAACTGGGACAATGGGATTAGGTGTGTCAGAGTCAGGGAGACAGGCTCAACACAGGGCAGGTTTCAGAGCTATTGTACATGAGTCACAGGCAACTTGATGACACATAATAACAACACTGTACTAAAAGTAGGATATGATCTAGAACCAATACCACTGAAGGAAGAAGTCTAAGTTGCACTCAAGGCATTTGGCAAAAAATAAGGCCCCGGGAATATGAACAGTTCAGGAAGCCTCAGAAGAAGAGAGAAGGAATAAACAGAGTCACTGTACTAAAAAACAATTGTTCACACTGGACTATTTCAGGAAGTAGCATACAGTCAAGATTCAATGGGACTGAAGGACCAATTAAGTATAAGGTGTACTGGAAGCATTGGGAATATAAAGCACCAAGAAAGTACTCACTAGTCTATGCCAAGAAATTTGGAAGATAGCTACCTGGCCAACTGACTGGAAGAGACTCATATTTGTTTTCATTCCAAAAAAAGGGTGACTTAACAGAGTGGAAATTAATGAACAGTATGAAGATTATCCAAAAACAACTGGAACAGCACATCAACAGAGAACTACCAGAAGTCCAGGCTGGGTTTAGAAGGGGTAGGGGTACTAGGGATATTATAGCTGATGTTAGATGGATCTTGGCTGAAAGCAGGGAATACCAGAGGAATGTCTATCTGTGTTTCATTGATTATACAAAGGCATTTGACTGTGTAGATCATAACAAACTGTGGCTGACTCTGAGAAGAATGGGAATCCCAGAACACTTGATCGTTCTAATGTGA